CGCTCTGTGAGCTCGGCTATAATTATGATTTTCAAACCTGATCTAGCAAGGCGTGTGAATCATATGCACTTTCAGGCTTATCATTATTATACTTTTTGCTATTTTCCTGAGTTGATAAGTATCATTCACTGCCTGGCGGGTTAAATATGATTTAAAGGTGTACATCAATCATGCATCACAGAATTTCCCCTGTATACAATATCAAGCTGACAAATGATGAGAATATAGAAAAATATCAACTAGGGGATTATTAATTGATCAAATACCAAATTCTCTAAACTAACATTCTAAAAACTGAATGGCAGACAGTAAGGAGAGTTACCAAATGAGATATTGGGATTGAAAAGGTTAACTGTGATGTTGTAACTGATGGTGATGATGATGAATGTTATTAAAGTTTCATTTGATTTATTGATCATCAAAGTTTAATTTAATTTATTAGTTATTAAAGTTTCATTTGATTTATAAAGACATTGATTAATAAGCTTGAACTTTTATGTTTAGGGAACACTTGAAGCTAAAGAGAGAATGTCTCATCATGACAGACATGGAGGTAAATTAAATAAACAAACTTTTCATCTCTAACTTAGGTTGTTAAGAGTGTCTTGGTTGTGTGTAATGAGCAAAATATTAGATCTGTCTTTTTTTATTTCAGTTGATAATTTAAAAATATTTTCACTGATTAAATGATAAGACGGAGATATTTTGACCAGCCAGCAGTGACATACATTGCTCAAGACAGAAATGAAAAGAATTTATCCTTGTAAGTGAGCTATAGACTTCAGAAGCACCCCCAACATGTGGGTTTGTAACTCAGTTGGAAATAGATGGTACCCAACTAATTTGGGAGGTGATTTGGTATTGTCAACTGAGTTGATAAGTAAAAATGTAAATTGGCCACTGCTTAGATGATCAAAACTGATGTTTCTAGGGTTCTAGCCTTTTGTCATTCACTCTAATGCAGGGCCAATGTTCAAAATGTCAGCTTTGATACGCTTAACAGTGGCTAATTTACATTATCAACTCAGTTGGTGATACCAAGTAATATTGTTATACAGTTTTTTTTAGAACCCAACCCCTTTAATATCTGGAAGGCACAGTTTTGGATCCTTTCACAGGCCAGCTTTTCTTTGCAGCAATTTCTGTGATTGCAGCCTGTATGCAAGGATTATTTCTTTACTCTTAACCCTTTAACCCCTGAGAGTGACTAGCATCTAGTTTCTCCTTACAACATCACTCTTGAATCATGCAGTAAGGTCATGAGAATGAAGAAAACTATCAGCAGCTAAAGAAGTTGTTGATTGTTACACAAATTCTCCTTGTCAGCACCTTAGGGAATGTATAGAGAACAGTATGGAGAATATGCATACTGATGTTTGGATGTAAAGGATTAACATTTATGAGACTATTCCTGTTGAGTTAACTTTTTGATTTTTGCATCGTGGTGGTCTTTTGTAAGATTAGATAATATTTGTAGATTTTTTACATTTTAATTCTAATTTCCCATGTACTAATTTCATATCATAGTTTTGTAGGGGCTTGGAATTAGTCTGCTCTGACTTATAAATTAGTTTGAATTTGTGACTTTCAAAAAGAATAGTCTTGAAAGTTAGTTGTTAGTGTAATGAAATAATTGTCAGTGTCTCTTTTGTTTTAGCTGAGGTCCAAGGTGTTTTGGTACCTCATGGTCAAACACACACTGTTCCCATCAAAGTTACTCAAACTCTCTCAAGGATCTCGTTTGGCTTTTGTTCAAATCACTATGACATAGGGTAAGTGATCCCAGGTATTAGAGTCTTCACAAAGCTATGTGACGTAAATCAAACTAATTGAACTGTTTTCATTTGCACCTTCTGGTCAAATTTAAATACTTAAGAAAAATAGAAAAACTGAACATGGTTTGCAAATAACAGGTGGAGAAACCAAGGCTACTCTCTGATTTTTCATGTACAAAATATGCACAATTTTTTAAGCTTCTACAAAATCACTGACCTCACTGTTAAAACTGACAGTGTCAGCTTCTGCATTTCCAGCTTCATTGAAATGGAAATGGAAACAGTTTTGATTGTTGTTAACTATAATATTATGATAGAGGGTACACAGATAGAAAGGGAAAATTTTTGGTCACTTGAACCTCAAGAAAATAAAACATTTTGACCTCATAACAGAATTTCAGGAGATTGCATCTTTGTATGCGGGATTTCCCATACAGAACTGATTAGGTCCTAAATAGTGAGAAATTCAATGCAGTTCTAAGCATGTTGTTTTAATGGAGTGCTTCAGCACAAACGTTTTTGAGATGCAGATGGTAGATGGAAGTTAAAAGTTCTCGTTCCGGGTGCTTACTACACCATTTTGATAACTGCAGTTTAGTTAAAAATGATAAAACGACAAGCTTACAGTCAATATATTTGTTTCAAAATGTACGGGCCAGAATTAGTTCTACTCTGCTTCCAGTTGCCATCCATGTTTCAGGACTGTCTCTGCGTAAATTACTTAATCTCAAGTTAAAGTTAAATTAATAATGCCAAAATTGACAAAATTTAATGTTAAAGTTAAATTAGGGTTAAAAATAAATTTATTTAGGTATAATTGGAAAAGGTTGTGTTTTAAGGGTTGAAGTTACATTTTTAGTAATGTTTAACTTACTGTTACTTTAGAGAATATACATCTCTTGAGCATCAAGCTTTTACTTCTTTTTTAACAGTTGCTACATGTCAGGTTTACCAGCAGACAGAGAATGGAGTAAAAGCAAGAGATTTAGCTCTAATGTTACTCCAGTGAATGGTCAAGTAGGTTGATTTATTTCTAGCATAAGGTTACAGGTAGTCTAAATTCTTTCTGCTTAGTAGTGATACCATATTTCCATGAATAAGCATGCATACTCTAATAAGCACCCTGCCCCCCCTCCCCAAATAAGTGCCAATCCCCTATGCCATGATATCAAACAAGCATCTCTCAAATGAGTGCCCCCATTCCTCCCACACTTTCTTAGATAGTAGGGATACATGGAAAACCTGTTTCTTTTACTACTCAATTTATAAAATTTTCAAGCTTCAACTACAACAGAATCAGTACAGGTTCATACACCCTTCCAACGAGTACTCCCCCTCCCATTGAAATTTCAAAGAAGCCCCTATGCTCTTATTCAAGGTAATACTGTATTTTAGGTCACCTGCAGTATTTTAAAGATGCCAAATTAACAGTGGTCACAGGCAACTCAAAGTACTCTACTGAATGGTTATATAATTTCACAATTAACACTATACTCATGGAAAAGACAATATGTACCTGAGGGGAGTCTGGTTTAAACCTGTTTCACAAGGAAATGCACTCAGGTTATTTGAGAGGGGAATCCACTGCTGCAGATTCTCCCATGTCATTTAGGGCTATTATAGTGTTCCAACTCTCAGTGATAATTGAGGTTAACTTGTAAACAATAACTTCCAGTTGATGATCAAGGGTCTTTTATGGTGTATTTGTCAGGTGCTGGTAACTGATGTTGGTGAATATACACTGGTGTTTGACAACTCTTACAGCTGGTTCAAATCCAAACAGATTTACTACTGGTACCATTTGAGTTCTAATGAGGGCTCCTCTGAATCATAGCAGCTTTGTCAAGACTGCTTGTCAGTAAGAACTTAAAATGGTTAAAATGTGATACTTTAGATTACGTGCGTTGTACAGAATCTTCTTTCTTTAACTTCCAAGAAGTGACAAATTCTTAATTACTTTGGTGGTTTTGTATTTTCTTGTCAACTGGGATTGATCAGGTGATATCTTAGATTGGTTTGTTCACAAAAGTTTATAAAGAGTCCAACCATCTAGTTAGAAAAATTTCAGAGTTTATTATATTATGTATAGTTGGGCCACTCTAATTTAGATGTTTAGGAATATTAGTATGAAAATTCCATCGCTAAGGAAGCCATGATGTTATTTAGAAACTGATGACAATTGTCAGTTGAAGTGTATGAATTAACTTGCGACTGAACCCCAGGAATATTGAATTCAGAAGTTATTTTAAAACTTTAAAACCATTGTTTTTGTCATATATTTTTGTAGACAGTTTAAGTTATTACTAACAACAATGTTAGATGCAGAGATCTTAACATCATTCAAATCTCACCAAAATACATTAAAATATATTATGTGTTGTAGAATGCTGTGTTTTGGTGACTTAAATTTTGTTCCTTCAAAATAGAATAAATACCCACAAGACAGCAATGTGCTCAACCAAAAAGCATGTAAAGAAAGGTTTCTCAGTTTATTTACATTCTTGTGCCTCAAGAAGAAAACCTTTTTCATCAGCAAGGCCTTGACACTTACAGAAACTCTGTAGTCTTAAAGAAAACTTGTTAACATGTATTTTGAAGTCCTTACAATATTCTTTCACATGAGTTTATACACTGTAAACTAGGAACATATATGTGAGATGTGAGATGAAATGTGGATGTTTGAAAATTTTAAAAGTAGCAAAGAGATGAAATTAATTGATAACTATTATATCTCGGAGTTAATGAAAAAATGACCACTGAAAGTCTATTAATCTAAGTCTTGCAACAGAAATAAATTAAAATGGTTATATTTATTTATGGAAGTAACAGAATTTTTACTGAAATTCTGTGAAAGATGTCATGTTCTTGACAACTAAAGAGAACGAACATGTACAACATGTCTTTTGTTGTGTGTTGTGTCACCAAGAATTTCTGAAGATTCTGACTTTGCAGGCCAGGAGACTAAGAGCAATGCAGATGTGTATTATGCTTGCAATTCTCCAAGATATATCTTCTTGTCACTTCCACAGGACATCACTGGAATAGAAAAGAGAGTTCTTTTAAAGCTTGCTAATTTAGGGGTAAATCTGTCAAATTAAATGAGTTCTTTGCTCATAACTTTTCTTGAAAACATGACTCAAGTACATGTAAGTATTAGATTAAATCTGTACTTAAGCTAAGAGGCCCATATAGCTGTAGCTTATCACGAGCTTTGAAGCATGAAGCTATTACGAGTGTTTCTACTTCCCTCATGATGAGATGCCAGTCCACTGCAAGGTTAGCCTCAGCATTTCATCAGGCTACTCTGGCAATTCCCCAGTACCCATTTATACTTTTGGGTGGAGAAAGATGCCTGACAGTAGAGTGTTTCGCCCAAAAATAAAACATGATAACCAGGTGACCCAATCCAAACTCAAGTGAACTAACCAATAGCCACCTGGCCCTCTCCCCCTTGGTCTCTCACTAAAGTGCAATATCAGTGTTAGATACCATAGAGAACTCTTTCCTGCTTGAATCTCACAGACTTCCTGCTCATGCCACACTGCTTATGAATTAGTATGATTCTCCAAAATTAACATTTTGGTCAAGAAAAACGCTTTTTCCAATGGCTTTTCTGGAAGTGTATTGATCAATGATGAAATCAAGAATGAATTGTGCACTCACAGATCAGTTCATTGGGATGAAAGTCAACATCATTTACTGATCCATCATGTCCAGGGAGTTTGTACAGAATTCTTCTGGAATTTGTATCCCAGACATAAACAAACCTAAAAGAATAAATACAGTGAAATCAAACAAATACTCAAAATGTTCTATGTGAGACTGGAAAAGTTCCTAAGTTAACGGCATATCTTACAAGCCACAAAGACATTTGGAGCTTAAAAAAACCCAGAATATGTAGAACACACAAATTTATGTTACATGTGCTGAAATACTATTTTCAATTTTAAAATGAGTATGTGCACTACAATACCTATCAGCTGATCCAGATGATATCATTAGTCCATCAGGGGACCAAGAACACTTGATTAAATTCTAAAACATAGCATTATAAAAAGAAAAAAAAAAAAAAGCATGAGATTAGTTCAGACAGAAAGCAGAGCTATAAAGTGGTCACAATAGATGATCCAAACTTTGATTTGTTCCATTTCAAGCGACAAATAACAATTATGGAAAAATGAAACTCCTCATTTGATGGTTTCACATTTAACATTTAACATTTAACATTTAACATTTAACATTTAACAAGAGCTGCCATTTTGATCAGTTTTTTAATACTACATTATGCAAAATGTCCGTATATATCATGTTCAACCATAATATGAGGCATGCATATCTGACAGTGTGACCAGCCTTACATTGTCTGATGATTCAGGTACAGCATGATTTACTCTTTTGTTGTAATTTCTTTTCAATGCTGACAACACATGTACACATGTACTTCCTTGAAGTTACCTTTTCAAAGTTATGCTGTGCTCCAGTGAAAACTTTCAGACATCTTTCCAAAGGGGCAAATGGACGAATATCCCACATACGAACTGATAAGGAGATGAAATATGTTAATTGTAAAAATGCACAACTATTATTAAGTAGATAAATTCAAATGACATTGTATGTTTCAATTACCACAAACACTCGTTGACTTTTGAGGAGCATAAAGAGTGTTTCCTGAACAAACTACCTTGCATGGCTATGGACAATAGCATTGAAAATAAAAGAGTTTTGAATCTATTGATTTTGTTTGGTACTTTACACAATACTTAAAGCACAAAGTTTTATTGTTCAAGATACAAAGAGCAAGTGCAGGAAGAGAGCCGGGAATGATCAATCCTTTAACTCCCATGAGTGACCAAGACAGAATTTCTCCTTACAATGTCAAGCAGACAAGCCACAAGAATAAAGAAAAGTAACAGTTTATTGAAGGAATATTAGTTGATCCAATACTAAATTCTCTGAACTAACATTGTAAGAATTGTATGAAAGACAGTGAGGAGAATTACTATTGAGATCTTGGGAGTGAAATGTTGGAGGCACAAAAAGAGGAAGCCATCATTTTTCTGTGCCCCCTCTCAATGATACAAAAGAAATTTCATGTTCTATAGGCTACCTACTTTGTAATACTTTATAATACCTGTGTTATCCATTGCATTGGAGAGGATAAATGAACCGTCTGGACTGAGACTAAGACCAGTGACTGTGTCTGTGTGTCCAGACATCTTGTATAGGACATCATTTTTCCTAAGATCCCATACCTTTAAATACAAAGGGTATCTTGACATGACTTGTAACTAGGACTTTTTTTAAACTATCTAAAGGCAAAGATTTTTGGTTGCATAGTGTTCAAGAACTTATGTTGTATAATAGTAATTATATTTGATGTTAAGTTGTTGACACATCCTAGTGGTGAGATAATTTTTTTTAACTAAGTTGGCATGAATTGTTTAGGAATCAGAGAAGTTAAGCTACTTTCACAGACTAAAATGGCTACTGACCTTTATCTCATTGTCTATGCCTCCTGAGAGGATTTGATCACTTGTGTCATTGAATGAAACTGCAGTTACCTAGAACAAGAGATGATCAAGGTACTCTTTGACAAAGCACTTATTAACCCTTTGACCCGTAGGAGTGATGAGTAACTATTTCCTCTATTAGTATTAACCCTAACACCAGCATGAGGTCGTGAGAATAAAGGAAATGATCACCAACTAAAAAAGCTCTTGATTGTTAATCAAATTCTCTCTGTCAGCACCATTATAAAGAACAGTATATGAAGAAAATGTATACTGATGTTAGGATATAAAGGGTTAAGCTTGAGGCATGGCTGGAGACAAACAGAATGAAGTAAATCATACATGAATGACCAGGTGTCTGGGTATCTATCAAACATGATGAAAGACTAGGTAATTTAGTATTACCAACGGCGTTGATGACCTAAATTGGCCACCATAAAGATGTTTCGAGCATAAGCCTTTCCTTAAGACTGATCCATCTAAACTGTATCACCCATCCGTAAAAAAACAATTCACACATTAACATGGTAAAATGATAAGAAAACTTACTTGATAAATGTTCTGAAATGTTTGTGCACATCCTCTTTTTCTTGTGTCCCACAACTGAAATACAAACCATGCGACAAACTTATGACTCAAGATGCAATTCATAGTTTACTCAGTACTGCTCAAGAGAAAGCTGATAGTCTCAACTCAAAACTTGATCTTCAATACTCAAAGCTATAGAGAATTGGTGATCGAGAATTGAGGCTTGAGTATCGAGTATTGAAAACCTCTAGGAACTTTTTGTGGATCTTGATTGCATTTTTGTGGAAATGATTTATTTCAAGCAAGCAAAACAATAATCAAAGATAAAGCACTTGACATGCACCTTCATGACACAGAAGCTGTGTGCATATTTTAAAAATAAAACAATCTTCAATTTCAGATTAGATTGCTTAAATTTTAGCACACCTAAAAGGATCATAGCTTTACTTGACTTTCTTCTAGTTTCTACCAAAAAAAAAAGAGACAATTATGAAACAAACCTTGACAGTACAATCATCTGCTCCACTGACAACATACTGAGGCCCTCTTCTAGATGGATAACAACTATTTATAAATGAACTGTGGCCTTTCAACTTCTTTATCCTTGCACCTGTTTCATAATCCCAAATACCTAATGTCTTGTCTGTTGATGCTGTGAACATGGTGCTGTTAAAGACAAAAAAATTAAAAAAATACAATAATTTTAAGAGCAGATTGATATATAACTGAGGGACCAGCTAAGAAAAGAAATGTGTTGCTACCAGTTGCAAAGATAGTTAAGACACCTTGGACAAATAGTGCATTTACCACCTTCATCTGGTGGCCAAGAAGAAATTTAGTGCAAAAGAAACATAAAGCTGCTCTCATTAGCATTATTAGCACAAGTTGCTTTGCAGGCATGAGTTCTTCATGAGGGGAAAAATGATTTCTCAAGCTAGACACCTGAAATGTTTAACCCTTCAACTCCCAAGATCTCATTAGTAATTCTCCTTACTGTCTGTCAAATAATTCTCATCATGTTAGTTTGGAGAATTTGGTATTGCATCAATTAGAAATCCCATAATTGATAGTTTTC